ATTTGGAGACTTAAGTGCAAATAACTTTTTATAGTTAAAACCTTTTATTTGCAATTTGGCTAAGAAGATTGAAATTACTATGAAGTTGCTGGTAAAGAAGATCCAGAAGGTTGATATGCCACCTAGAGTGATCTTTTTTGCTCGGGAGGCTACTAGAGAGTGCATCTTAACTTTGGATAAGCTGATTAAGACGGAAGAATATTGGTAACCATATGTGAGAGAGGTGCAGATTCATTTAACCATATCTTGTCATAGTGTCTTCTTGCCTAGCATTTGTGGAGCTTAACCTATGGTCTGTTGAATATCAATTGGGTGATGGCTTGTTCTATGCGAGATGAGATTAGGGTATAGAATAGGGCCTTTAGGGATAAGAGGTCTTCAGGTTTTATTTTTTTGGCTACATTTTGTATAATCTAGAAGGAAATCAATATGAGAGTTTTTGAAGGGACCGGATCTAATTTTTATAAATTTAAAGGGATTTAATATCAGACCTTAGGTTTTGAATTAAAGGTCATCATCTTTATTCTTGTGAGGATTTTGAGGATCTTATAGATATTTTGCTTGACATGTAAATTTTGTATATGGGTTATACCCCATTAGTATTTGTGAATAGATGATATTTTTCTTTCCAAAAAAAGATTTTATGGGAATTCAAAATAACCTGATTCCTGCATCTCTTTTATGCAATTTGTAAGTCTATCTTCCACATGTTAAAGAAAGTCATATTGTTAAAGCAAGTATTATTGTTAATGTTAATATTTTTCGTTTCCTTCAACATGTGCATCAACTATTTGGCACAGATATTTTTGCTAATTGCTGTTCGTAGAAAGGAACTGCCGAGTATCATTTCTAATGCAGCCAGTCTTTTCAAATGTCTTCAAGATTTATTTCTTTACAATTATGTTGAATTTTTGTTTTAAACATCTTTCCGGGTGTTTTCCTGCTTTCAAATGTTATCCTCAAGTGTTATTCTCTATAGATTGGTGCTTTAACAAAAGGGAAGCAAACAGACAGAAAGACGTGCTAGAATTCTAGATGTCTACCAGGCATCCTTTATTATAACCAAAATTTTGCATGGATGGGAATATGCTTTATATTCGCTATGATTTAGTTAATTTGTTCTTTTAGTTAGTTTCCTGTCATTCGTGCTATAATGTCTCTCCTATTCTCTTGGCAATCATTCCTTTTCCTTCCTGGATTTGCTGCATGAGCATGGGGGTGTTTTTTCCTAAAAAATTAATAAAAACGTGAACTTTTACTGTCTTGCATACTTCTGATTTTAAATAATTTTATTATTGATCAAAGGTGTGCAAAGAGAAAAAGACCCTTTCTTTCAAATTTGTGCTAGCTACACTCCCCACTGACTGTGAAGCTACAGCTCCAGAGGATATTTCACCCCATCTGTGTTTCACCCGTCTTCTTATTTGGCTAATGAGCATGGTTTAAGCATCGAGTCTTGCCTCAGTTCAGATGATCTCAGTATAAATCTACTTTCTATTTGTCAAAGCACAGATTTGATGGCAGAAGCTTCATGATAGTCAAGATGAAAGTTCCTGTCTTCATCTAGTGGACTGGTAAATTCTACTTTTTTTCTGTCATTGTTGCTTGGAAATTATATTAAGCGTGTATGTGAATTGCTGCTTGTGCTTCTGTAAATAGTCTGGAAATAGAATTTCATAACGTACTTATCTGATCACAGATCAGTCCACGAGTCAATTATTATTATTTTTTCTTAACTGCTGATTCAAATAAGTTGCTTGATGGGATAATTTGGAAGGTATAAGTAGCTAGAGGTGATACGTTGTGCCATAACCACAATGCTTAGCCTGAGGATTACCTTTATCTCCCTAGGTAGGGGGTTTTTTAAGTCAGCCGGTGTGCAGCCTTAACTACACTAGAAAAATACGAGGTGCCATAAAACTAAAGTTATAAACTTAGCAAAAGGAAAATGCATAGGGGCATGGATTTTTGTTCATAAAGCCCAGTTTGCTTAAAACTATACGAGGCTTGTGAAAATTGTTTAAAAGCAACAAGTGGCGAAGGCATTCTTTTATTGACAGAGACCAGAGTTATGGGCTGTAAGAGATGGAAATAGGCATCAGTCGAATCTAAGAGGATGAACTTGAACAGGCCAATTTGGACTTTCAAGGGATTTAGGGTCCATTGCCATTTTAAGAATAGGTTAAACTAAATGTCACGTTAGGATATACAAAGGGAAGACGCAAGCTTGCTTGCTTGTATGGATGAAGATGACCCTTTTTATTTGTCCCTTAAAAAGTATATTTATCACTTTGCTGCAAATTGGGTCTGAAAAGGACAAAGATGACCGTCTCTTAATAGGGAATTAAATCAAATAATTAGCTGGCATTTGGTTGTATCAAGGATAAGGAATCTCTTTTTCTTTTTCTCTTTTAGGCAAAACAAGGCGACGGTGGAATGCTTAGTGAAGCTTGTTGTTTTCCATTAAAGAATTACCCTAAGCTAGACAAGGGTAGAAAACTCAAATCCAAATCCAGTGTAGGTAACTTGTATGATACGTTTTCTTCTGGGAGAAAGAGCTCCTAGCTAGTACATAGCTCTACAGATAGTGCTTGCTCAAGGGTCATGACTCCCTATGGGGACACCACGATTTGACCAGTTCAGCTAGCTCTCGTCATCCTAACATTATCCAAAATCTTCAATAGAAAAACAAAAGTGATCGGAAAAGGTTTTCTTTTTTAGAGATTACGGATAAACTTAGCTGGTGACATTCTACAAAAGTTTGATCTTATATTCTTTGCTGAATCACTCAAAAATGAAAAAGATAAAACTGCCTATGCTTTTCTTTTGACGATCAACTTTTCTTCAAATCCCTAAATAAAAAAATATTCCTCGGAATGAGAAAGCAAATGTGCATAATACACATACGTGCATATATATATATATATATATTTTGTTGCAGAGTATTTTTGCTCTTATTCTGTAATTTCTTGTCTCCGATCTTATTTTTTTTCAAAAAATATTTTAATACATGTTAAAGCTAACGCATGTCTTAGAAGATACTTTTTTTTTGTAAAAAAAAAAAAACACGTTAATTTAATATATTTTATAAAATAAACTGCTATTTGATTGGACTCCACCCACAGTTTCTATAGCCATCAACGTTCTTGACTGGCAATATGAGCGAGGAATTTATGGGTCCCACCTGCGCACTAATTCAAGTGGAACAGTGGGGTAGACGGTCTACATATATACATGTATATATATATATATATATATATATGTGTGTGTGTGTGTGGGGGGGGGGGGGGGTGTTATTTGGCGGGAAAATATTCCCAGGAGTCCAAAATGAAAGATTCTATGGATAAAGACAAAGGGGACCGTTTCGGACCTCGTAAGATTGTCATCAAGTGGACCCGCATATTTAAACCGCTAAACGTCACGCTTTATGTGAAAACAAAAGCTGGAAACATAAAAAATTTTCTGGTTCAGTTTAATGCCATCTGCTTACTGATTAACAAAAGAGAGAAGCAGGTGAAAAAGTGAGTGCTTAGGAATATGCTTTCACCGACCTTATCGACCAATGTCCAATTACATACCGATCTTCCTCCCTCTTGCATGTTCTCTTGACCCTTTCCTTTTTCTCCTTCCCAATATTGTATTTGTACCATTTGTCCTCTTCCCTTTTTTCTTTTTTACATTTCATTTACCATGCTTTACTATTCTTTTTCTCTTTTTTTTTTTTTTTTTTGTTATATGTATGTATATATATTTTTTATTTTTATTTTTATTTTTTAATTACTAGAAATTTTTTTATATCTTTTGAGATGTTGATTACAGTAATTTACTTATTCTAGTAAGTTCAAACTTCATGTGACTGGATATTATTTACTAAAGATTCTTTTTAGATAAGGTGAACAGAAGATTAAGTTTGACAGTCTGTAGACATTGATTTTAGTTAATCAGGTCATTTTTTTAAAAATGAACTTGGATTCATGATCTTATGAAGGTGTTATTTAATTTTATAATGAAAGAAAGGAATAAGAAGCTATTAAGAGCTTAATACTTGTATAGCTCTAATCTCTCATTAACTCACTTCTTGCACTGTAGGAAAAATTTTCAACTGTTTCACTTATGCATGAATATCCTTTATTTTCAAAAATCACTTTGGTAAATGTTTGATATGTTAGTTAACTCTCTCAAAATTTCTTTTACATGCTTATGATAAAATATATGAATAAATATTTCTTCAACCATCGTTTTGTAGTAGACCATAACTACCATCTAGCAACTCCTGTACATCTCTTTATAAATATACCCACAATTCTCTTCATCTCTACTCGACTACAAACTCCCCTTAATATTTCAAACTTCTCACCACCTCCGGGCTCTGGCTATCACCATTGCGCTAACTGGCAAAGGGTAAAACATCATGACCAAGTTTAAGAAATCTCAACTCCTAATGCTCTCTCTTGTAGCTGCTCTTCTCTTCATAACACCTATCTTATCGTCATCTTTTCGTCCTACTTACCTCTACTTTGTCATCAATCTCCTCATCATTTCTCTAGGAGCAGAAGCAGGCTTAGTCTCAGTGCTCTTCTCTAAGCCCCAAGATCATCATGACAAAAAACACCATGCTTCTTGTGCTGCACCAAAGCCATTAACAGCCACAGAAACCTCTCCTGATCAAGCTACTAAGGTTAGTGCTCCTCCTAATGAAAAGAAGCCTAAGGTTGTTGAGAAATCAGCCTCCGAGAAGATTGTTAATGGTGGTGTAAAGGTTGATATGGTGAAAAAGTGTCCCTCTATGCCAAGCCTCTTCTTCATAGGAAATGGAGATGCAGAAGCGGGATATGAGGCTGATGAATATGAGGAGGAGGAAGAAGAGGTTGGCGGGCTTACTGGGCAAGAGCTGTTTACCAAAGCAGAGACGTTTATAGGCAACTTCTACAAGCAACTGAAGATGCAAAGAGAAGAGTCTTGGAAGAGGATTCATGGGTTATACCAAAAAGCATTTTAGTGAGGTTTTAAGCATAAAAATATATAATTAATATTTGCTGATCTTGCTATACATATCAACTTAGGATCATTGGTTTTGGGGGGAGTTAATATATAGGAAAATTGGATTATAATTAACTAGTCTACAATTTCCTTCTAATTCGGGTTTTGTACAGGTTCAAGTTGGCAAACCTCTAGTAGTCGTCATGCTTAATATTGATTTGTATCTAGTTCAGCCTCACGACTGGTGATTATCACCTATTCTAGCCTGACACTTCATACATTATTTGACATGAAGTGTCTTGAATCAAGACATACATGATATATTTAGTTGTATTGAAATTGCTGCATGAATGAACACATAATAGCTATTGTTTTGTTAATGTACGGCCATGCATGAATGTCTGTGATAAATATTTATGATCATTTTGGTCTCCTCTTAGGGTACTTACATAACTTGATCAGAAAATTACCAAATCAATCCAGTCTTTGTTAAGGGGATAAAATTTAATATATATTTTAATTTGAATGTATCACCAACATTATAATTTTTTTACCAGTAGAATTATACAACTTAAATCTTGTTAGACTAGAAATCTATATACTCATTAGAGCAGAACTCTAGTTTATAATATTATAAATAACGTATATGCTCCATGAGTAAAATGGTCTTCAACATCTTTTTTATGCTTGTTCATGGTAGCAGAGCCATATTAAAATTTCAGGCTTCCTCAGTTCATTAGTTTTAGTCCTCAGATAAAAAAATAATAATTAATTCTGCACCCTATACCTAACCAGCTTCCTCTCTTAACTTTATCACGCTTGATGAATGAATAAAATCACCTTCGCTATTACTTTTTCATTTGTGGCACAAATCAAAGATTCTTTATCAAATTAGTCCAGTCTTTGTGCATAAATTTCTGTGGTAAATGTTTATGGTATTGTTGGTGATGAACCCGCCTAATGGAAATGATATTTGCACTGATATATTATGTGCATTATTGTTTTAGTATAACCTTATGCTTCTCCAAAAAGCCAAATCAGCAAATGGATACATAAAAAGCAAATTAATTCTTTAGTTCCATAAATATTTGTAGTTTACTTTTTGGAGGCAATTTTTACAGCATAAATATACACTGGAGTTTTCCTCGTAACACTATCGATGTAGGATGCTGAATGTTACAAGAAGTGCAATTTATTTTCTTTCCCCACGTCACAAAACCTTGGTCTAGCTATTATTGGCTCAACACTTTTCAAGTCTTGTTTATTAGTTCTAAAAAATTTAAAACTCAAGTTATTGATGATAGATGATTTAAAGTTACTACATAAATTGAAGCTCAATATCAGATTGAGTTAGGTACTTCTTTTGCTTGTTTATATATTGACTTGATATTAACTTTTGTTTGGCCTCAAATGGTATGTTAAAGAGTCTAATTTGATTATTAATCTCGTAATAGGTAACTGAGGGTCTTTGCCGCTTGACTTAAAGGCTCTAGGTGAGTTTGATATTTACTTGGACGCACTGTTGGGTGTTTAATTTTCATTGGTAAACATTTCATTTGGTCCTCCATTTTTCAAAAAAGGTAATTTCTCGGAAGAATCGGTATCAGTAGATGACAAATATAACAGTGAAATGCACCTCTAACGTCAAAAAAATCTTGATGGGTAACCTTAATTTGTAGTTTAGTGATAATGTGCTCCTCTAAAAGAAGCCATATATTCCACCAACTCTTGTTGATATATATCATGATGTGGGGACCCAGTTGCCCCGGAATGAACTTGGCCTGCATGTTTTTGATTTTTTTCCTTGAGATTTTAATTTTAATTTTAATTTTTTTTTTTTTTATAAATTATCTCCTTTTTGTTGATATACATGAAGGTCTATAAGGTTTCCTCTTTTGATCTGTGGTGGGAAATTAGTTAGCAGAGAAGAAATTGCGTTTCTCCTTTTTCTTCTTTTTTCAAATTTGTAAGTTTCCCAGTTGGGGATCTTGTGGACTGAATTGGGGGGGGGGGGGGGGTGTCTAGGGAGAGAGGAGGGTTCCTGTTGCTTGCATGGATCATTATCTTTCATGGTTACTCTCCCTAATATTCTTGTGGCATCCCTTTAAAGATTTATGACACCCATTTTTTTTTTTGGCCCCCTTTTTCTTTCCTCTCAAACTTTACGGAATATATAGATTCATGCATCTTTTTTTTTTTTTCTGTGTTGCTAATTTTATAAATATATGAACCATTACATCATCGACAAGTCTTTTTAGCATTATATCCGACAGTTAGAAAAGATCCTTTATATTTTAGGTAAATTATGTTTTATTTTTACTGTCATTTGGTTTTGTTATAATTCAACATTCTATCATTTTACAAACGTTGTCACTTTTTAGAAAAAAACAAATCTGCAAGTGTCGGAACTTTTAAGCAAAAACAAATAATTAAAAGATAAAAATTAATATTTATGTGAAATGTGTTTCCATGTGTGTGCGTTCTTTTTTTTTTTTTTTTCCAGAAATTAATAGTACCACAGAAGATATAAGTTATATAAAAAAATAGAGATTGAAAGTAGAAAAAAAAAAAAAATTAAAGTATGGAATATCAAATTATAATTTATTTAATATATTAAAAAATAAAAAAATAAAGAATACGGTAAAGAGTCGAGGAGTCACGGTAGCATCCTTTTTCGCTTTCCCTTTTTATCCGTGATGGTGTCATTACAACAACAAATTTGCATTTGTTCGTGGTCCCCGAATGGCCGTTGGTGGTTACTGGCGCAGTCAAAGATTCTGTTTATGACAAAGAACGACGCCGTTTTGTTCCGTGCTTGAATGCCTCGTCAGACCGTCATTGAAATACCAGTAAATTAGGCACCTTTGATTAGGGCATTAAGTCTTGGTTTAAATTATTATGTTATTATTTCATTGGTATTATAACTTTGACAGCGTATGATCTTCTAAAAATTATTTGGCAGATAGATAGCGCTAATAATAATAATCTGAAATGGTTATAAAAATTGTTAAATTGTCTAGCAGCTAGCTAGTAGAAACTTTGAGAGAATATTTTTACAGTAAAATGAAATAACATAAAAAACCTTGTGAGTATGAATTGCCGTTTGAGATTGGAATGATCTGCCTTGCAGCCCATATTCTTGTCCAAACTCTCTCTCTCTCTCTCTCTCTCTGAAAAATAAGTTTGAGAATTCAAATTCACAACCCAAGAAAAAATACATTAAAAATCTTGAGCTTTGTAAACAAACGAACGAAGATAAAGATAATAAAGAAAAAAACTCTAACAAATAAGTTGCTTTTTTGAAGGGGGGAAAAAAAAAAAAAAACACTCGTCATTCACAAAACTATTATACGTGGCGCAGCTTTGAGAGAGGAGTAAAACATAAGGGTGTCTCGGTTACAATCATAAAACTAATAGGAATTCTTAATGTTCTCTGAACAAAGATATAAGCAACCTGATCACAAAATCTAAGAATCCAACACGAAACAAAGGTTACAAAAGAACAAAACAAGTAATCAAATAATATTCAGCCTCTGAAGAGTGTTTTGACTGTTGTAGAGATACTTTAAAAAACAAGCTGTGAATTACCTTCTACCATAATACCGTGGACGCCCGTGCTTTGTGCTATCTCCAACCCATTCATTATAGCATGAATATCTGCCACTACAACAGAGTTTGGCAATAAGATTTTTTGCGTTCCAGAAACAATTACATTCCTCCGCAAGCTTCTATATACTATGCTCTAAACCGTCCAACCGCTCTGTTCCATTGAGGCATCAAAATTCGACTTGAAGATACCTGGTGCGGGAGGAATCCATGAGGAGCTTCCTACATTGTGAGTCACCATGCTGACAGTATCTATCCTGTTCACCTTGTTCCTTGATTGCCTCCAAATCTGAGAAAAATTTAATAAATTTCAATCCAACTATTGTACTTCAAACAATTTTCCCTGGTGAACCCATAATTGAATTATATAACATTAATTACACTAATGAAAAATTATAAAATAATTTTTTTAAAAAAATTCTAATTTCTATAATACTTAATCTAGTTGTATAGAAAACTAAAATATAAAGATATGCTGAAAAAGGACCAAATAACCTAACTAATTTAAAAATACAAGTTAATAATAATTATTACAAAAATAATTAATTGAAAACTTTTTTTCCAAAATAATATCTTTTTGCTTTGCATCACACATGCCAAACATCCTCACTTTGCAGAAAACAACACATACAGTGCCAAAGCTACGGAAACTTGGCTTCTTGTAGGGAACGGATCATCAAAGATGCTGCAGAGTTTTCTGCCTCCTTTACTCGGGACTTTTCATCTCCCATCATATACAGCACACCATCTGCAGTTGGAATTTTAACTGAGCATACATATTTCTTCTTGTGAGGTGGACCATCATCTTTCTCAATGCTGCAAGAAAAATTGGATATTCACAAGACAAACAGAAAAAAGGGCAGAAGTAAATTTACAGGAGTTTCACTTCGTGGTAACATAATATTACCTTGACTCTCATTTTGAATTGTAACAGTTAAGTGAAAAAATAAAGTAAGAATTAAATGAGAATTGAACTAAACAGACTGTAAAAAAAGTAAAAATTTCACTCTAACAACCAAAGTTCAAGCACATATCAAAATTATGGAAGGAATCCTTACAGCTATAAGAGTGAGGTGTTGGCTTAATAAAGAGAAGAATGTTAGATCTCTTAGAAAAATAATCCCAATGAAACATCTGACTCTCTTTTATTTGTGATGCAAAGGGATCATCTTTCCCTAATCTGGTCACAAAGAGAAAAAGAAAGAGAGGGCCATTCGCCAAAATTATGCAGCCAATAGCGTATTGCTAACTCCAAAACCTTGATTCAGTCCACAAGTCATGAAGTGATTATCATTCATTTGAAATATTAAGATAAACAACAAACAGTGAAGCATGAAAACAACTAGATTAAGCACCTAAAGGTAATCAGTTCACATTCTCATTTGACCTTGCTCTTTGCAATCCTTTTAAATATCAATTCAGTTGATTACTTATAAGAAAGAGGTTCGGTTTATTAAGTTCTATCTAAAAAATTCCTTTGCTTATCTAATAAAACATGAGGGTAAACTACAATAGGCTTTATTGAGCTCAGAAGACACTAGTTTTTTTTTTTTTTTGGAGATAAGAGCTTAGAAGACACTAGTGTACAAGTGTTTGATTATTCTAAATTGTAGACCTACGACGGTAAAACTTACAAAAAAAACCAGCTGAATTCAAGAACTAATTTTTTTCCACAATATTCTTTAGCTAACTGTGCTATTTGTGGCTTCCCATGCGTAATCAATGAAAAACGAAAACTTTTCTCATGAGAAACAAGAACTTATAAATGCATAAATGGTTTTAACCCTACAAAATCAATATAAGACATCAAAGAATTCACAACTGCATATAAACCTTCACATTCATATTAATTTTCAGCAAAAAATTGGTTCATACCTGTAATTAGGATTTGCCCACTTCTTCTTGCCACATAGGTCATGTAATTTCTGCTTGGCACCTCCATTCTCAAAATTTGTATCAATCCCATCATTGGTACCAAACATCCTTTCACTAGCGTGGATAGATTGTGAAAACTTATGCAAAGCTTCCCTTGCAGCAGAAAGTTTTGCAATTTCCTTCTGCTTGGAAGATGCAGAGGCAACTAAGGCACCATCCACATAGACGCTAGCAATAATTTTTGACTCGTTTTTCCGGAAAACAAAATCAAGTTGCTTCCCATGCTTTTGACAGAACTCAAAAAGTAGTGTCACGGGCTGAGGCTGCTGCTGTATATCTTCCAGTGTGACAATAGGCTCCAATAGACCCCTAAAGATCTGCAAATATACACTGCTTTAAGTCACAAGTTTCTAAAACCCCAAACCCACCTAAAAAAACAAGAAAGAAAGGAAGCATTGAGTCATTGATGGCTACTAAACCACCCATAGCCTTTGCAAATCAAAATTGACATCTACGTAAACAGCAGCAGCGAGAGATTCTACAATGTCGGCAAGAATCTTTGGTGCTTTCATTAACCCGCCATAGGAAACAGCATTATCTTCTTGACTCACTGCGTAGTGAACTCCTTAACCTACAAATATGTTGCAGCGTGGAGAACCATTGATAAAATTCTGAAGACTTTCTTATAAGACCGTTGATAAAAATCAACGGTAGCAAACAACATGATCTTTAAGTATTGAATTGCATTAAGACCAAACACAGGAATATGTAGAAGTTCAAGACTAAACAAATCAGAATTAGATATAAAAAAGAAAACAATTGGAAGTCGCCTAAATAAATAAACGTAAACGACAAAAAACAAATGCACAAGGTAATGTAAAAATCTACTAAACAAAGTTTAAATTGTAATAAAATTAAAAAAAAGAAGGTTGTGATATTAATTTGTTGAATATTATCTTGATATACATTGATATGCATGTAAATGTATACAGTATAACTTGTATGCTTCCAAACAAACAAGAAACTAAACCACCAATTTCTGCTTTCAAAAACTAAAGCAACTAAGCAAGAAAAGGAAACATCGAAAATACCATGTCATCAAGAGCAGTAGAATTGCGCTTAACAAAAGCATATAGGCCGTGCTTGACGGCGACGCGCGCGAGTTTCTCCGTACTGATATTCGCGGCACGTAGCAGCGACATCTGGCCAGGTTCGAGCTCAGGATAAGTTAGGAACACGTAATTGCTGAAGGCGAGGCCGAGCGCAGCATCGCCGATGAACTCGAGCCGCTGGTAGGAAACCGAGCCGCCGGCGTAAGAAGGATGAGTTAACGCTCCAACAAGCAGCTGCTTGTCCCTGAACCGGTAGTTGAGGATGATCTCAACGGCATGAGGTTCGGCGGACTCCATGCCGAGCGTCGACGGCGAAGCCACATGGAGGTCCGGCACCGGCGGTGCGATAAAGAAGTCGTGATCCATTATCCTCTTTCTCCGTTCTTTTTCCTTTTCAATTCAAAATTCTCTCGATCCTTGTTCTCTTTCGATCAGTGGCGATCGTTAGAGCGAAAAGCAGAGGTTCTGTGATTGCGAGTGGTAGTCTAGGCTACATGGAGGAGCGTAGTATTTCCACTTCAAGTCTTTTCCTGACTGGTAGTATCTTAACCTTGCAGTCGTCGTCTTCGGCTTCCTTCACTGGAAAGTTCTCGTAGCATTTTTCTAGCTGTAATTAATAATTTCTTAAAAAAAGGTCCTTAGTTAATATTTTAAAAAAAAAAAATTAATTTAAAGCCGACTTATTTTTTTAGACTTCAAATTTTATTAAATAAAATAATAAAATAACAAAAGAAAAAAAAAAAGAAAAATATAAATGCCTCTTGAAAATTTGATTTACAAGTATGAAATTATTCTCTACTCACTTTTCTTTTTCAAGGATGAAGAACATTTTTTGAAGAGGGAATATCATCAATTTGAAGTTGCCATGATTTTTTAGTATGTTGTCATAATGTCAAAATGTTTTCAATTTTAATTTAAAATAAATATTTAAATTTTAACTCTTATTTAAAATAAAAATTATATATATATATATATTTATAAATGATTCTCATTAAATGCTATAATTTATATTCCTATATGTTAATTCTTTAAATATATGATGGCATAAATTAAATTCTTGATTTCCTCTAGTGGTGTAAATAAATTAAACTCTTTAAGCAATCAAAATTTCCAATTTTATCACCAGGTAATTTCCTTTATTTTTAAATTAATTGCTATTATATATAAATTATTTGTGGATAAAAGTTGTGGAAGTAGTTTTCCAACGTTATTAATTTATCAACTTTTTGACTTAATAAATAAATTAATATACTAATAAATCGATTAATTATTTTTTGGTAATTTAATTTTTTTATAATTGTTTAAAAAATAAATTTATAAATTAAAAAACACTTTGTACTTTATTAATAGAAAGAACATAAGTCTTACAATACGCACTAGACAAAATTTCACATCCCAAACCCGTTATGCATTAGCATGCTGAAGTTAATAATTATCACTTAATATTTTTTTTCACTTTATCTCCCAAATATTTTTCTTTTACTCACATTTGTCTGTATTTTCTCTTTTCCTAAACCTATTTATATAAGTAGAAAGGTTGTCTTTTTGCCTTCACTTTCTTTATTGTTGTCATTCATTTCTTCTCTTTGTTGTTACCGCTTCACCTTTATCTCTCTTTATTATTACTGCTTTAACTTTGCCTCTTTATTATAAATTAATTGAAGTTTTAATTTCAAACATTAATTAAATCAAGTTTAATCATCCAACTTCCTCTCTTAAACTTGATTTAACTAATCCCAACATCTTCTTTAACTTGATAAATATATATGTTTTAAATGGTTTTGTGAAAATATCCGCAATTTGATTTTTAGATGCACAGTACTTGACCACGATCTCTTTATCTTTCACTAAGTCACGGATGTAATGATGTTTGATGTTGATGTGTTTGCTACGACCATGAAATACTGAATTCTTTGTTAAGGTAATAGCTGATTGATTATCACAATAGATTGTCGTTGGGCCATGTTGTTGATGTTTTAACTCATTAAGCATCCTTCGTAGCCAAATTGCTTGAGCAGCGCAACTTACAGCTGCTATATACTCTGCTACTGCTGTTGAAAGTGCTAATACATGTTGTTTTTTAGAGGACCAAGAAAATGCACCCGAATCAAAATTAAACACATAACTTGAAGTACTTTTCCTTTCTTCAATATTACCCGTTCAATCACTGTCTGTATACCCAATTAATTCCATCTTGTGTAGAGGTTGAATATAGAATGCCATCATCAAACGTTCCTTTAATATATTTTAATATTCTCTTTGCAGCTTAGTAATGAGTCTCTCTTGGTGATTCCATAAATCTTCTCACAATACCAACTCCATGCTCACAATACAAACTCCATAACAATGTCAAATTTAGTTGTTTTAAGTATCTCAAGCTTTCAATAGGTCTCCTAAAATTTGTTGCATCAACTAAATCACCGCTTTCGTCTTTTATAGACTTTAACCTTTCTTCCACTGTTATTAATGTTGGTTTGCAAGCTTCCATCTTAAATTTTTTTAAGATATCTTCTACATATTTCTTTTGAGAAATGAATATGCTTTTATTTGTTTCATTAACCTTAATATCAAGAAAGTAAGACATTAACCCCATATCTCTCATCTCAAAGTGGACAATCATATCCTCCCTAAATTCTGACAGGAGTCTTGAATTATTACTGATGAAAATCAAATCATCCACATAAAAGCAAATGACAACAATATCTCCATCCTTGTCTGTCTTGATATATAAAGTATGTTCGTAGGGACATTTTTGGAAACCATGATCAAGAAATAGGTGTCAATACTAGTATACCATGCCTTTGGCGCTTGTTTAAGCCCATATAAAGCCTTATTCAACCGATAAACTTTATCTTCTTCACCTTTCTTCTCATAGCCAGGTGGTTGTTTAACATACATTTCTTATTCGAGTACACTATTTAGAAATGCTGACTTTACATCTATTTAATATATTTTCCAATAATTTTGGACAGCAAGTGAAATAATCACACGCACACTATCAAATCTAGCAACATGAGCAAATACTTAAAAGTAATCAATACCTGACTTTTGTTTGTATCCTTTTACAACTAGCCTTGTTTTAAACAGTTCTACTTATCCGTTAGGCTTGTACTTTTTCTTGTATACCCATTTGACTCCAGTTGACTTCTTTTCATTCCATAGAGTAATTAATTCCCATGTATTATTCTTCTCAATATCAATTATCATGTATTATTCCACCGATCATCATTAGACGCTTCTTTGAATACTATTGGATCATAATCTACAAAGAAAACATAATGAACAACATCTCCATCATCAGTAGGATTATTACTAACTTCATAATCCTTTAAATAGTTAGGTGGACGATGATCTCGTTGTGAATGTCTTAGTACAGGAGGAGAAGAAGCTTCTGGAGCGACACTTGATGATTCTTCAGAAACTAGAGGAGAAGACTGCTCGCCAGTGCGATTACTTATTTTTATTTCATTATTTATGAACACTAGAATTGATAGTGATCTCTTTTATTCTTCAGACCATTCTCATACTCCATCTTCATCAAAAGTAACATCGCGACTAATGATTACCTTTTGGGTCTTTGGGTTGTACAGCTTGTAGCCCTTTATTTCCATGCTATAACCAATAAAATGCATTTGTCTGCTTTATCATCAAGTTTCTTCCTTAATTCAACTGGTACATGTGAATAAGTGATACAACCAAACACCCTCATATGCCTTAAATTAGGCTTTTGTCCGCTCCATACTTCTTGTGGTGTTTTATCACGAACACTTTTAACAGGATATCTGTTTAAAATATAAACTGCACAAGCAACCGCTTCTGCCCAAAAACTCTTAGGAAATTTCTTACAATGCATTAGGCTTCTCACCATGTCCATAATAGTTCTATTTTTTTATGCCACTCTGTTTTGGTGAGGAGTATATTTAGCTGTTAACTGATATTTAATTCCATGTTTTCTTAAGAAATCATCACAAACAATACATTCTGTGCCTCTATCAGTTCTTAAAGTTATGAAAAAATAATCACTTTGTCTTTTAAAATATGCCACAAAATTCTTAACTATTCCACATGTATCCGATTTATGCTTCAAAAATATACTC